TGCATGGGTTGCACATTGCAGCAATTATAACGATCAACACTACGAGGAAGTCACAATGACGTGAGGGGCCACTGTAGACTTCTACATGTGGATACCCCACGACTCACAGTTAAGTCCAAACTTTTACTGGTAGTGTGCCTGCTGCATATCCTGTCGTTGAGCCCTTCACTCAAGGTACAGCGCACTGACGTAAACACATAATCAAATATTGCATGACACATTGTGAACTCAAATTCATGAAAGGTTCAGGTTTCTATTCTCCACTACTGTACAGTACAACCACAATGGCCTAGGTAGCTCACGTTCATGGCGTGGGGCTGCCATCAAAAATGAGCACAATGACCGGTACATACATATTTGTAGCAACTGCTGCCATCATAGCTAAGATTGATCTCGACAAGGGTATACCCAATGCAACGGAACTACAGCAGTCAGGCATGGAGAGGCAGCGAGCCCACCATCGTGCTTCAGCCTTGTGAAGTGTCCAAGTAAAATGCCCTCTGATTGGTTATATATATATTATTTATAGCCAATCATAAGTTACAAAGACTTTATTGTTGAATTTGCAGTCTCAAGCCCACAAGCACCGGCCACCACTTGCAGAGAAGGGCTCCTACCCTCGCAGCTTTCAGCTGATGTTGTAAAACATAATGCATTCTATCTACTACGTAGGATATAGCTACGCTACACCAGATTTCGTGCCAAAACAGCGCAATAAGACCAGAACGATCACATTGATTTGGAGCTGCGTCGGTCTATGGCGTACGATTAATTTCGGCCTACGCCACAAGCACACTGTGCACGATTGAATCGTGACCATCAGGCTTCAATTGCAACATGTTGTGGCTGAGTCGTTGTACTCATTCGCTGGGTGCTGTTGAATGCAGCAGGACTATGCCGCTACCCTATATTACCCACCATCATCAACAAACTCACCGACAATAGATTGACATTTGACACCCTCAACTTCCCAGGACATGACTGAAATTGGGATACAGTACCTCCGCAAACATTATAACTTGAAAACAGTTTACCACATGATCGGTTATATTCCACGCCAACTTTCTTGTGAGCACGACGAAATGCGTTGTGACAAATTTTGTTGTGATCAAAACCTGTACTCCATTTCGAGATGTCCTTCTGTAATACAGAAAAACTTTCCAAGCAAGTTTACTCTATTTTTGAGGAGTAATTTACCGGTATGCTCACGTTTTAACCTTGAACTGTGTATGTATCCATCATACAAATATTGTGCGAATAGGGTATTCATTCTGGCCAGGTAAAGTATTTAATTTACGCAAGGTTATGTATTTAATAATATTTGATGGGACAGTTCAATCCAACACATGGTCCAGATAACCTGTTCGAATTTGTTTCATTTTAGGACGGGTAACGTTTAAGCTGAGGCTTACGTTAGTACAGAACTGTAATCTCAGTTGCTGAGTGCCTGTGAGAGCATCCCCACTCGTGGCGCTAAATCTCCAAAACTGTATTCCACATAGCGCAAAGCGCCGCTGAACGCTAAGTTAGAGTGGGTCCTTGAGTCCAATACTGTGTGCCTCATCGACTCGACTGCATGTGACGCTTATATGGTGAAGGATAACTGCCGGCATTGGCCATGACGACTGCCTGTAACGCTCGAAGCTCAACCATGACTGCAGCTACCTTGGAGATCACCTCACTGACATTAGCTTTGAGGAACTGATCCACTGCCAACTTCAAGCAATGGCTATGACAGCCAATCAACGACCGCGAAAAGTTATTCGCCGTGACCTTATTGGTCGAAAAATTGTCGCCAATCAGACAAACGAACCACTTTCGATGCTCGCGACTGATTGTCCATACCACTTTAACGTTTCCGGTTGAACTCGTAGTGAGTAGCAGCGTCAAAACTCGTCTCGTCGAGCATAGGAGCGAATGCAAGGAGCCATATAACCGCTTCATCACTACCTTTACATACATTCGGGGGAATGAGACAAACATTCCGAGCAAATGCGTGGAGTAGTCGGCCCAACCATCGAACACAATGCTGTACGGCCGGCCAGCCATAACGCTCAACACACGTCGTTCCACGGCCTTCACCAACTTGAAACAGTAGAGTTTTATCATTTGGACATTAATGGGTTTCAACGTTGAGTTTTACCGCGTCAGTTGACTTTCCACAAAGGTGAACTCGTGCTCGTCCATGATAAGCCACTCGACCGAGTTAAAGATGTTGGTGGCTTTAGGATCGAACCAGGCGTCCAACGGAGCAGACTTCGAATTTTGCCCAATGGCCTCAGCGTAGATCCCAGCAAACCCAGGGAGCTTCAGCTTGAGGTGGCAGTACAGATTGGTGTAGCTACTACTAGCCACATTACACTTGAGTTGGCGCTTGCACACCGAGCACATCCAAGTGTTCTGACTTCCCTCGAGTGATTCTTCACCAAAAAAGTACTGGCAGTACTCCTTTGGTAAAATTAGACGTTGCTTCAAGGACGGGGTTGAAAAGATGGACAGGGCTGTCGGAGGTACACTGAAAATCAATTAATAATTGCAATCTGCGAAGTGGAACAATACTGTAAATAGTTGAACTAAATTAATTGTAATATACCGTATTCCGTAATACGAGTTAGACAGTGATGTATCGATATCCGAATACGGATACATGGATGGATGGGACTTTGTTTTTCGAGTTAGACATACAATACTACATATACGTGCAAGACACCATTTTACAAAACAAATATAGTTTGTACAAGAGCATAAATTCATACAGGGTATAAAATACCTTGCTCACCAATGATAACCAATTAGAGAAGTTCAGATTCATTGATCTCATCAGAATTATCTATGTCACTAGTTGGGTTGATCACAGCTTCGACAGCTAAATTTTCCATCAAATCCGCTAATACTTCGTCATCGACATACCCACCGTCATCAATGGTTTCAATTGTTTGACCATCAATGAAATCGCACGCCTTGAAGCCATTAACAATTGTAGATTCAGGTAGATCAGTCCAAACACACGTAATCCACGAGACCACTGTAGCTCGCGATGGGGCCTGGACTTTGAACTGTGTCTTCACTGTCTTTGAGCGCCTAATTTGTTGCCGCAAAGATCAATCCACTTGTCTCGGAGGCGGGACTTCAACGGACGATTCCACGCAACATCCGCCGGCTGGCAAATCCACGTAAACCTTGGTGGGATCCTCACCAACACGACGTTGTTGGACGTCGGGTACGCCACAACTTCTTCAGTCCTATGCGCCGAAAAGTCGTCCCACAACAACAGAACTGGCTTCGTGTCGCGATCCGGGCGCTCGGAAAAGTGGAGCTCCAAAAACGACAAAGTGGATCCGTTCCACCATGCCGTAGGGTTTCCATAGACGCGGCAGTTGAACTTGGCTTCCATAGGCTGACAGACTCCCACAGCCGTTTACCAAAGCCTTTTGGCACAGCAAGGTTCTCCTGCACGACGGCCTTGACTTTGGACTTCGACGTGCGGAGGATCAAGAACAGAGGGTGCTTGGTTCCAGCCGAATTCGCCAACACCATTGCCGTGACTCGCTCCTTGGTCTTCCCGCCACACGTCACTCACACGGTCTTCTCGCCGATGTCGTTGATAGTTTTGGTCGGGAGGTATTCGTAGTTCACAGCGGTTTGGTCAGCATTGTACACGACGTCAACGCCGTGCTCACCCATCAAGTCCCGAACGTGCTGTGAAAATTCCTGGCGCGTCGCTATGCCATCTTCATTGGAGTCTTGGCCGACTCGAGTACGCGCACGCAGCGACAGCTTGTGACGTCGCTTGAATCTAACCATCCAGTGCCACCCCGCCTTGAACTCGTCTTCACTGTATCCCTCATCGACGGCGGCTTCGAGTGCCATGAGCTGAAGCATTGCATGTGTGACTGGGACCCCGTCTTCGCGCATGTCGTGCACCCAACGAACGAGCATCTCTTCTGTCTCGTGGGAGAGGGTGGTGCCAACACCAAGGCGTCGCCAACTTCTCTGCTTCGCAGTTCCCATGGTCGACACCATGCCGGCTATGTGGTCCTTCTTCGCCAACCATTGGTAGATCTTCTTCCGTTGCATCTCGCGCGACGTCGTGTTGAGATTGGTGTAGAACTTAGACAACGTGGCAGCCATGCCGTGTGTGCCGTAGTATTGAATCACATTGTGTCGCTCTTGGTAGCTACACACAAGACCGAGGAGGTGCATGAGGAACAGGCAATTTTTGAGCCATGCAGTTGAAAAATGGTTGGCTGTGTGTCAGGCTTAGTGCATTTGGCGCCAACAAGTGTATATCTCGATGAAAACCTATATAAATTGATACAATATTGGCTTATGCAGTATATATAAGATACAGGAGTTCATTCACGCGACAAAGGAAAGTCAATCAAACTATATTTTGCACAGCAGCAAAACAATATTATTTCTGAAAATATGATGAAAAATGCTAAATTATATTTGCGTGATCCCAGTTGTCCCCGTCCCGCGACCTTGCTGAGTTCTACTCTACGAAGGACTATGCCCCTCAAGGCAATCGTATCGATGCACTCAACATCAGCAAGATCCATAGCAGGTACCACTTCGTGTATTTGTATAGTGTACAGTACATTTGTCACATGTTGGTGTGTATTAATATAATATTTTACAGTACATTTGGTTTGGCCAATGAGAGAAACGTAACAAATATGTTAAGCCAATCAAAGCATAACCAGGTGTTTCGTCTAAATGCATCGATGTAATTGGTGGAGATCTACCAATCAAACGCTGAATATGGAACGCTACATCCATTTAATTGGCGGAAACTTCTGCTGATCAGATCAAGGTGGGTGCGACTACTTTCAGTGGTTGTTATTCTGTCATTTATGAACGAATCGCTTCAATCGCTTCATTAAAATTTCAGCAGGATCAGAGCGAACGCCAGCTTTCGGCAGCCAATCGAAATTCGCGATTTGGCACAGAGGTCGCAATTGTTGTCTTGCGCTGGTGTTCATAACCGACGGCTACCGTGTTCACAACGGTGACCTGGATGACAAATTCAAAAAGTAACTTTATTACCCAGTCAATCAGTCAGTCCCCTCCTTTAACTTCACTACTCTCTACCAGTTATGTATCGGTACAGTGTACCATCAGCTCGGAACATATGCCTCTCCAGATCCAGGCCATATGTCACACTCTTCAAATGTCGTGCGTGGCCAACATTCGGCTACCCACACTCAGGCACGGGGAGCCGAACAGAGGCTCTGACGATAACAGTTCCCCCCTATATCGGGTGGCCACATGCCCTCGTGAGATTGTGACGCTGTCGTACTGGCATGCAACCGAACGAACCCGCTCATGTCATCCTTGATGACCAGGACGTACTCCAGGCCTCCCGTAGCCTCTGGGAGTGACAGCCAGTCGAAATGAATCAGCTCATTTGGCTTCGTTGCATGCAGCGCTCACCCCACGGACGGGGTACCGACTCACCGTTGACCACCATACAGTGCAGGCAGGCAGTGACGAAGTTCTTCACGTCGGTCTTCAGGGACAGATGCCGTCGTCGCTTCTCCGGTGTCCCGCCACGCCGGCATGGACCACCACACATATACGTACTCGCATATCCAATGCATCTCCCGGGATCCAAATCTTCCCAGCTGCCGTCAGAAAACACTTCTTCTCGGCGCTCCAGGAGGCGCATTTTTCACATGTTGGATGGCCGCGCTGCAATTCCGTCATCGGATTTGCCGTCGGCCACACAAATTCTTCGTGCCGTAACGGTGACACCAGGGCCAGCCTGGACATCCGAGCACTCCGAGACTCCACCGGAAAGCTCCGGTCCGGTCCAGGAGGACTTCCCCAACGGCTCAGGAGATCCACCCACAGGTTATCCTCTCCGGTCACACACTCCACGACATACGGGAACGTCGATATCGTCAGCGCCAAGCGCTGGGGCTTGTGGTCCTGGTACTTGGCCATGTTCGAGTTCGAACTCAGAGGGTTAAACATGTACACCAGGTTTCGGTGGTCTGTAAACAATCGGAAACCTCCCGGACGGATCAGGAGGTACTCCAGGCGCTTGCACGATTCGACAACAGCCTTCTCCGCAATCGGCCATCGCCCGCTCGCTCCCCGGAAAGATCCGCTCAGAAACGCCAATTGCTCATGTCGCTGGCCGCTCGCCAGTAGGGCCAGGTCCTCGACCGGGATCTGTGTCGAAACAGCTCCCCAGAACCCCCAACGTCTCTTTCGTCCGGTCGAAACACTCCAGGTGGTCCACGGACCATCCGACGAAACTCAGCGCAACACGCGTCAAGGCCGTCTTCTTCGGGAGTCGACCGCTTTGGCCGCAATATCCAACAGCTTCGTCAATGGGGCTACCAGCTCCGTGTACGGCGGGATATTTCCCCTCATCCAGTTCGTGGCGCTCATGAACTGCTGGAGATCTGCTGCCGTTTTGCGGCGGCCCCAAATCACACAGGCCCTGGATCCGTTCCGGGGCATGCGCCACGCCGTCCGCCGAAATCTCTTTCCCACACCATAGTGTCCGGGTGGAGTAAAAAACACACTTCCCGGGGTGTAACTTCAGTCCGTACGCTTGGCAGATCTCAAGCACTTTACGCAGCAGGTGCAGCAACTCGTCCGTGGTCTGGGCATACCCCAACAATTCATCCAGCCATCCGAGCAGTCCGTGCATCAGGAGGCCCCCGAACAACTCATCGACAAACCCTTGGCAATAGGTCACCCCATCGGTCTGGCCCATCAGGACTCGGGTCGGGGTCACCACCCCTACGGGGGTCATGAAGCAGTACTCCTGGGAGCAGCGGGAAACAACAAATAGGCAAGTTAAAAAACCATTCAATTAATGATATGGTTAACCGAATACAACGGAGACTCGTACATGATTGCAACCTGAGCAATGTTTACCACCGCAAGAAAGCACGACGGGTGGAGGCTGATATCGTGTCGGAATGTGTTGTGCAAAACACCGAACTGCTTCAACCGAGCATTGGCAGTTTCGTGTCGAGACATCACTGCTTTCTGAGCAACTGAGGATGCTGGGTAGTATCGAGGGTTCACAAAGTACGCTCGGTCCATGTATCCCTTGTCAGCGAGCGTCATCTCACCTTCGTTAACCGCGAGCACGTATGCATCACGCGCGAGAGCTAGATCCGACCATTGACCACATGGTTTTCCACCATTTACCCACACAATATGCCCCGTTCTGATACAAATACCGACTTCGTAACGTATCCCAGCTCGGTTCAACTTGTGCGACCACCAGGATGGGTCGAAAGGAAATGGTTCCTGAACTGGACAGTCGGTTCCATCTAGTGATACGAAAAGGTTTGTTCCCATCGGTGCTTCATCAAACCGATTGTTGAACACAACCTACACGTACAATTGAGACACATGAGACA